GGGATGGATGTGAGTGCAAATGTTTGTTTGGCTGTCCGTGTTGAACCTGTTACAAAAGGGGTACCATGATGTACTGTACAACTCAAGGCATCACTGATCTCTTTGACCCGGAGCAATCTAGTGGCGTTGGATGGACTGAAACATAATGTCCTAGACATCTTTCATTGTTTTCCAAAAACAATTTGAATTTGTCTGACTACAAAACAGTAATTTTGCAATTTTGCCTGTCATTTTAAATCAGCTTTGGCCCCATGTTTGTATGTTTTCTGTGCTCAGTTATGGATAAAATCTAGGCTTGTCAGTTTGAAACATCAATGAGTTATTTCATTTTCTTATTTATTTATTTACTCATATTTTATTCCGCATTGAAACTTCTTTGGAACTGGTGTTCTACAATTTCTGTCTAGACAATATGGTGTTTTGTAACTTCCGTTTTGGAAGAAAAATTAATTTCATCATCGCTTTTATGTACACAACAGTTCCCCTTTTTACTTGATAGTTTTATTAATTCATTTATAAGACAAAGACTTAAAATTGCCTGAGAAATTTATTTCTTGTATTTATGATATTATTCTAATTGAAATAACAATAAAACTGAAGTAACAAGTAACAGTTGAATCAACTTCAGATATTATGTCTAGTTCATTTGTCATGAAAGAATAAGGGAGTAGGCCTCATCTGGCCATGCTTATCAGTCAACTGTCCCATTGGAAATGGTGAACTGTGTATAAAAATGGTCCTGATTGTTAAGTAGGTCATGCAAAATTTATGGATAACCCCTTTAGTTAAAGTTGAAAGTCTGCACTTCAGTCACATATTGATTGTTTGATTTACAATGCACTGCGGTGATGTACAGTGGCTAAAAATATGTCTTTTACTTAAACATTAGCAGGGCCCTACATAAAGAAAAAATATGCTTAGTTGTAATATTTGTTAGTTTGGCAAATTTGTAAGAGTCAAAAGTCAAGCCTCCCACACAGCACAGTGACTTATTGTCAATGTTATTAAAGTTTTGTGGCTACTGATAGGGAGCTTGTAATGGAAACCATTACCTTGTTGGCACTGTTAGTAATTAATAGATGGATTGAGAATTTAAAATAGTATAAAGAAAACACACATTAGTTCTTATGAATTCTTTATTAGGTTCACTTGACGTAGGATTAAATTGACAGCTTGTAAAAGTGAAGAGTAGTGATGTATCCTGTGTGTCGGGTAATCTCGGGGGAGTTTTTGTGAAGCGCGTATCGAGGCTTGCTTTGATTACGTATGCAGTGACGTTCGAGGCCCCGCGGGCAGCCCGTACCACGTGACTGATTCAGGACCTGGCTCACCGGTTCGCACCAGATTCGAAATAAAATGGACAGCAAAACACAGCTGATTTCCCCCATCACATTGTGTTGTGGAATTGGATTATGTACGTGCTACATAGTTACTTGAGCATTTCTTCTTCGATGGAACCAGCAAGGAAGAGATTTTTTCATTTCATCTCTCCTATTAAAGTAGCTATGCACACAGTAATAAATATCACAAATGATAAGTAACACAATATAAATAAACAACACTACAGATGCTATAATCTGATTTCTGTCTTTTAGTTTATTAAAAAGTGAAGCACCACATTGTGTCATTATCCAGATGTGCATAAGCATGATTACACAGTAACACAATCATACCAAAACTCTGTCTTGATAGTTTCCACTTTCTATTTTGAATCAGACATACTGAGACAATATTCGGGATAAATAACCATGAAAACAATTTATTTATTCAGTTTAGAGGTTTACATGTCACATCATTATAATCACAGAGCCTGTTTCCTTGGAATTGTCCACTTGATGGTGCAGTAGAGCAAACGAATCATCACAATGCTCAGAACCATTAGTCGATCAGTTGGATGAAAAGCTTCAGTTCATCACGAGGCTTCATCTCACCATCACTAGTGAAGAGACAGGGGGACTGGCCATCCCTGTGTCAGAAAAGAGCCCAATTTAGAGCTGCTTACAGTTAATCATTTGTCAGTAACCTAAATATATGTGAAATGAGAATTTGTAAAAGTACTCACCTGTCCTGGTTGCTTCTTGCAGGATTTGGAGCAAAAGAGTGAAAGCAGCTCAATCACCTGCTTAAGAGCTCCTGGAGCAGACCAGTGTGCCAAGTTAGGGATTGTGGTTAAAGAGGGTTTTAATTTAGAGAGAAATGGTTGAAGCTTATGTTATTGGTTTGTTTATAGTACGTGTTGGAAATATGTACATGTTTGTTATGTGCTTTAATGTTATTGTATGTTTGTTTCTGTGGAGGGTTATGTTTTCATTTTGATTAGTTAACCCCTATACTTGGGCTAGTCCGGATGCTCACCTGAATAGGTAGAGTATAAAAGGAAGACATTTTGTTTTAAAAGTTGTTGTTAGTGTGCCTCCTTTAATAAAGTGCCAGTCCATGGATATATTTTATTCCCGTCTCGTGTCATATTATTGGAAAGAACCTATGACCGCCGGCCAAAACTGACAGAGCTATGTAGAAAAACAAATCTTTTCCTAAGGAGATCTATTTTCTTCACCGTACAGTTTGCCAAGAAAAGCATATCAGAACCTATGATTTGCTCTTGATCGTTTTTTATCCCACAGGTATATAAGGCAGTAGTGCAAATCACTGTGCCAAGATGCTTCTGGTAGATAACGTTATTATGATATTTTGTTAGACATGCACTTGAGGTATGATAATCAAACCCTTTGACCTTCAGTGTACTGCGGGACCAGAAACCTCCTCCACTCAGCAGAGCAACAATTTTGTTCCAATGTGCAGCAGAGGGCCCACTTGGTTTGCTTCGATATCCTCAGGCCATATCACAGGCGATGCTGTACAAATTACACTACAACCTCAGCTTCCTGCCCAGGTACATGCCGTGGCTGACATCCAGGGACGTTTTGAACCCTGAGAGATTGTAGTGAAAGATTGCAGAAGAGGAAGTCAAGGTTATGTTTAGATGATGGCTCCAAAAGGTGAAGAACACCATGTAGAGCAGGGAATTAGTTGAACATGATGAACTTTCATTTGCCAATTTATATATAAAAGCAACAATATTTTCAGTCACAACGATGGCATCAAGGGGTGGCAATACATTTTTGTGTGTGTTTTATTCTCCTTCAACAGAGTTTCTCTTTAACACCGTAACTTTTACAAGAAAGCTTTATAAGGTGTTCTGTCGCTGGACTCTTTGGAAACTTTCTGTCGACCATAAGTTAATATGATTTTGATTTTGATTGTTTGTAAAAGGACTTTCTAAACTTTATTCAAAATAGGGGTTTAAACAGATTAGGTATTACTGTCATAACTAGAATTATATGATTAATAATTATGAAAAAAATTACACTTGCATACATATAATTACACTTTATAACTGTGAAGGAGTAAAAGTGCCCTGTTTTCTTCTTTCATTGTATTTGTCATTATCTAAAATAATGTAGAATAAATATCAGCTGGAGTCACGTATAAAACTATTTTTCCCCAGGAAGTAGTTACCAGGTCAACATGTCCTCTAGTTGTCCTCGTGGTTGGACTCGGTTCTATCGTCGCTGCTTTGTCTATATTCCAAGAGCCATGAGTTGGGCTCACGGTGAGGTAAGTTCCTTCTAATTGTATTGCCTTCAGTACTTGAGAAAAATATCTTAAAACACATTTGCTCTCTCTGTCTCTTGCAAGTGAAGAGAAACAGCTTGTCCATGGGGGGCCACCTTGCATCTGTGCACAGCAGCAGCGAGTACCTTCTGATTCAGAAGCCTCATGGCTTCAAAACTACTTGGATTGGAGGAACTGATGCATCTGGGGTATTTTTATTCAATCGTTACATTTTTTTTCCTGTTTCACAAGACTTTGGTTAGGCAAAATCTTTTGGCCTGCCTGAAATAATGCTATCAACTTCTGTCTTCTAGGAAAATGTTTGGTTGTGGAATGATGGGAGCCATTTCCGCTATACACACTGGCGCCCGGGAGAGCCCAGTAATGGCTATGGCAAGCAGTATTGTCTGCAGATAAATTATAGTTGTAATTCAGAGTACAATATTTAACATGAATGCTTTATATATATGACTTGTAAAAAATAAAAATGCATTTACTGATTTCTGCAATTGAACTTTCTTAGGTTAGAAGCAGCCTTGATGTTATAATTTCCATTATAGATTTAGAAACCAGACTGTTCAAGTGCAAGACTTCATACCTTTAAATGTGCATTTGAGACATGACCCATTGCAAATTCCTGACGCTTACTTCTGCTTTTCTGCATACCTCATACACACAGTTTAAGTTCATTGAAAGGTCGTATGTCTATGTATGTATAGCTGGAAACACAAACACACAGACAGGCGTATAAAACTGTCACATGGTTAACTGAATTATGTGTAACCTCTGTTGTCAATAAAAGAGTGAGGTGGACGCAGAGGAGTTCGAGTTGCTTGGACAGGCGAGTGACAACACTGCTCTCCAACGCTCCCCTAGCAAGTAAAAAGTACACTAGTGTCTGTGTGGTTGCTTTCAGTAACAGCTTCTGTTTACCAGCAGGGTTGACTTAAACCCAACAGTTAACCTCCCTTTTGTCTGGCCGTGCCCAGGAGTGGACAACAGCCCTTTACGATGGCAGGTTTCATGCCTGCAATAATTAAGCCTTGTTTGTGGAGGAGTTAAAGAAAAGCTTTGATCCCCCTTTTCAGGAAGTATAGGTGGAGTCAAAGTTACTTCATTTACATCAGGGTAATCAGTCCATGTGCCACTTTATCTCAGAGTTCTGTGATCCTGCTACAAAATTGACCTGGGGTGATACGGCGCCCCGGTCATTTTTTATGGAGAGGTTGGCCGATTACATCCAAGATGAGATGGCACTACGTGAGGCGCCCAAGACTCTGGGTGAGACTGTAGATCTTGTTCTGCAGGTAGACCAACAAATTGTGTCATGGTTTCTTCATGCTACAGCTACAGCTCCACCACATCCTCTGAAAGAGCAGCTGCTAATGCCAAAAATATTTCCATCAAGGAGCCTATGCTGCTGGGGAAGCTATCCAAAGAGGAGAGAAAAAGAAGCTGGTGTGAAGGGCTTTGTGCTTACTTTTGGTTGGTTTGACATCTCTGCACCAAACAATCAGGTGACTGAGAGAAATGCCTGTAGTCATTCACTTTGGTAATTGTGAACATTGATGGAGATGTCCTCCACAGTCACACTTAATACTTGTATTTCCTTAACTTGCATCCAACACGACTATGTTCAGTTTAAATCCAGCTTCCCTTTATGGTTTGTGGAAAATTGTGTTAAACCATTGCTCAACGTATGTCTGCATGAGAGGAGATAATTCTGACGTACTTGTAAGAAGACTTGATGAAAAGGAAACCGACCCTGTAACTTATTGAAAGCAGGTCACTGCTGCATTTAGGGCTAATAAAAACAAGACCATGTAGTGTCCATTGTGCATACACATGCACTGGGATATTCCAACTCTGATTGTGTAACTCAGGAGGCAAAGAATTTGCATGGTTCAGTCCTTGCTGCCAGTAAAACCTGTTGGAAGCAGCAATTCTGAGAGTCGTTGGTCATTTGCTTGTGTGTTTCCCTAAAGTGCAAAATCAACAACCCCAGCATTTGGTTTATTACACATGGGCCAAAAGTGCAAGTCACTCTTTACTGATGTTACAATATGGCTTTATGGAGCAGACGTGACCCCGTGTTCTCAGGTTTCTGCCATAACTTTTATTATTTGCATAACACCTCCCCCCTCTGGCTTCCACATGAACTGCAACAACTATTCATGCACATCATGACATGCCCTCTTTTTTCCTTATTGATAAATGCCACTTCATTACTATTCATACTACAACTAAGTAGTTATTAAATAATATATAAAATATTAAATAATAGAAAAAATTCCTGACCATAAAAAATAAAGCCTTTACAATGGGTTCATAAAAAAAGCAATTTTTTGCCAACATTACTGTAAACAGAAATTTTATAAATAGAGGACAGGTTGGGCAATAAAGTACCAATTAAATAAATTACCATTTCTTTATTATCTGGAAAAACTGAGACAGCTACAACTTTACCTTTTTTGTTGAGCACAAAGTATTTTTGTCAGAAGGTGGCACCAGAGATCACTAATCTGTCTCTTTGAACTTTAAACAAGATATTTAAACAACAGTTAACCTAAACTGTGATACAGTTAGTGTGGGAAATAACATCTTTGTTCCTACTAACTACTGGTGAGATAAAACAACAGAAAGAGACATTTCAAAATTGATCATACATACAGCAAAGTACTCGGTTATGAGCTGTGATGACGAAGAAATAAAAATACACAAACATAAAATGAGAAGTTTGTTCACATTAGATTTAAGAGATGCTGGTTGTACTTTATGGTCCTTTTGGAGGTTTGTGTTGATGATTTATATTCATGGCAAGTCACTTATTACCCCCAGAAACAGAGGAGCCTGATGAAACACACAGCAGCTCCAGGCTGTGTTCACACTCTGGGATGTTTGTTAACGGTGCTGTACAGTGCAGAGGCATCCTCCACAGCAGCTTGGTGTTTTGATCTGTGAAGTAAACAATAAAATGATACTACTATTGTATGCAAAGTATTAAAACAATAAACTTGAGGTGCAGTTATCCTGTGTGAAGAGCTGCTCACCTTCTAGCACTTCTGACATTCATGGTGGAGTATGTAACACTCTCTTCCTGGTATCTGTCACGCTGAGCTGAGCTGGAGTTGGAGTTAGCAAAGTCTGGCCGGTTTGTACTAAATTGTACAGCAGCATATTGAATTTCATCCGTCTGTCAAACACATGGATGAACATTTTTTAGGGCTTTTTGACTTTTTGCATACGGAACTAATAAACTAAAACCGTTAATATCATAACACTTTCTTCCTTCCTCCCCTCTTACAGTTAAATATCTGTTACTACCTCAAGGTGTCTTGATTTTGCTAATAAGTTAATGCAGAAAAGCATGAATGTGGAAGGATGAGATAAATAATATGGGTGAACATTGATACAATGGATGTAATCAGTCTGTGTGATGGGTTGAGCTAATTGGTGACTCTGAGGTCTGAACATTATGTTTTAGGATGTTTTCACTGGAATATCTGAAGTCTCATCAGTCACCTGTGCTCCGTTGTCTGGCCTCTCTGCAGCCTCTGATTGGTGTTTCAATGATCTTCTGATAAGACAATAAAATACACATTTCAGCAAACAGGATGGATTCATGTTTTAATGACACAAATGTCCAGTGGAATAAATTCCCAAACTATGAACAAGATAAATTATCACAGCTAACAGAAGCAGTCTTCAGCCAACCGAACCTGCAGGAAAGTGATGTTATGAGCATAAGTTGTAATGTAAATATATCAGAAAAGTGCAGAAAAGTCTGGATAAACATTCAAAGGAAGTCAACATTAGATATGAGGCCATATCTCTATGCAGCTCTCTTTTAAAATTCTTGCCAGTATAAAAGGTTTTGGCTCACAATTATTCTGCTATTTTCAAAACGAGTGAAATCCATGGACTGAGATGGTTAGTCATAAGTTTTAATGCTACACAAACCCTTTGCTGTATGTTTTTCCAGCACTTATTGCTTGCTTGCTTGTTTAGCGATGTTCTTATAGTCTGTACTAACTGATCAGCTTCACACCATAACTTCATACCATAACTTTTAAACTTGTCAATGACATTGTCAACAAAGTCTCAGAGAACTTTAAGTGTCTGGAGTTGACTAATAAAACGATCTCTTAGTTTTTGGTCTTTTCTGTGCTCTCAGTGTGAACCTGTACATCTACAGAATTAATATCTGTCAGATGAAATCATTTCAATGTTTTGTTCATTCCCAAAAGGTTGCAACAATTGTGATTACATTTTGCAAAACCCCGACAACGCTGAAGGATTACATCACATGTTTTTGTTAAAGATGCCATGAAATCACACAAACCTGACAAAAACTAGGTTATGAGACTAACATATCAAAGTTGAATATTTCTGACAGAAAATGTATTTCTGACTATTGTCTTAAGATTGACTTGAACAAAAAACACCTTTAAAATCCAAATCAGTTATTAAAACATTCCCACCTAATCCAGAGCAGGAGAAAGAGGAGTATGATGACCAGAGCAGTAACAGAGACTGAGAGGATTACAGGAAGTTCCCATGAGCCTGGAAGTAAGTGAAACAAAAACATTGAACTTGATGGGTTAATCAGTGATTGATCATTAAATAATACAATTTTCTCTAAAAATGTTAGAATATCAGGACTTAATGCTGTGAACTAAAACCAAAAGTGGATAATCGAGGATTCCAGGATGTTTTTTATTTTTTCAGTTTAATTTTATTTGTGAAAAATTACAACAGTCCCCTCACAGTAGTTTTTATTGTGAGGTGAAAACCAAACAATAATATTATCAGTTTCAACATCAGGTGCATCAGTAACTTACCTGTCACAACAGTGAGATGATGGGAGGTGGAGCTGCGACGTCCTCTTGTGTTCTGGGCTTCACAGTAATAACTCCCACTGTGTTCAGGTCTGAAGTCAGTGATGATGAAGTTCTGTCCAGATGCTTTTGCTGAGTTATCATCCTCCTTCTACCAGGTGTAGTTAGCTGCTGGGTTAGCATCACTGCTACAGGTCAGAGTCACTGAACTGCCCTCCACTAACTCACCAGAGGGACTGACTGACACAGAGGGAATCTTTGGAGCATCTGGAGGAAACCGAGAAAAATTATTTACATTCAGTGTGAGAAAATTTCCACCAAGAATGAAAACATTACAGGAAACTTTTATCAAGACAGATCAATCTGCTGCTATTTACTTACACTGGACATCTATGAATAAAGACACAGAGAGCTGATCCTCAGTCTTGCAGTCGTAGATTCCTCTGTCCTCAGAGCTGATGGAGGTGAAATTATAAATACCTTCTGGTGTTAGAGGCAAGATTTGGTTGCCTTTGTACAAAGTGTTCTTAGCTGCTGGATTAGCATGTGTACGACAGGTCAGAGTGACTGAACTGCCCTCCACTATCTCACCAGAGGGACTCACTGACACAGAGGGAAGCTTTGACGGATCTGCAGATAAAAGATTTCTTTATTAAAGTTGGCGTTTAAACTCATGTAACATTACAGCGTGATAAACTGTAGCTGGCTTGGAGCTGTGATATGTTGTTGGTGACACAGTGAATTAAACTCACACACTGATGGAGAGCGGTAATCCTCGTATCCAGAGAAAGCACAGGAGATGTTGTCTCCAGGATTAAAGTAGTCTGTATAGGCAGAAGTTTGCTGTGTCGTGTTTTTCTGTCCGTTCCTGAACCAGACGTAAGAAAGACGACCAGCTGGACTGCAGCTGCTTTGACACTTGAGCTCTGCCTCAGTCTGAGTCTGCTGGACTGATATTATTCTGCTCACCTTCACCTGCAGAGCTGAATATGACAGCACGGCAGTGACATCATGTAGAGAGAGGCTTTATGTGTGGATATGTAAGTCTACCTTTGATATCTGAGATCACAAAAACAAAAACCTGCTAACATTGTGTTTTCTTCAGTACCTGTGACACTCAGAGTTGTTCCAGGTAAACTACTCTTCCATTCAAAGCTTTGTGTTTTGAATTTAAAGTGATACTCGGCTGAATCCCTTTCTGTCAGGTCTCTGATTTTCAGAGTGGAGCGTCCTCTCTCTGTTTCAATGACCTCAACACGACCTGCATAGTGGGAGTCTGTTCTGAGGTCCTCGGGGTGTGAGCGATGCTGCCACTGATGACTACGTTCAGGACTGAACCAGAATTTGGACACAGCAGGATGTGTATGACTGTAGATGCAAGAAATGTCCACTGATGAACCTTTGAGGGCACAGATGCTTCTGCTGGTGTAAGTCACTGTGTTACAGGTTTGATCACCAACACCTAAAATATATGAAACAGATTTGTTAGAGGAAGATTTGACTGCAGCACCACAGAGCAGGAGGCTGTTGGGACTTATTGTTGATTTATTGGCTTTACTGAGATATAAAATAAACATGAAGATGCAGCAACATCTTTTTTATTAGAAACAGAAATTAATGATATGTTTTGTCAGTGTAAGACTGAAGTAAACTCACACACTGAAGGAGAGGGAAGCTTCTCGTATCCTTTTACAGCACAGGAAATGCTGTCTGTATCATCAAAGTATTTTTCAAAAGAAGACTCCTTTTTGTCAATATTCACTTCATTCTGGTACCAGACATAGGAAAGAGGATCAGGTAGACGACAGCTGCTCTGACACGTCACCTTCTTCCAGGAAGGATACAAGGTTGGCCAAGTTTTTATCACTTGTGCCTGGAGAACTAAAAATTATGCACAGCAGACTATAAAACATGCACAACATTCATAGCTTATAGTGTCTCAAAGTTCCACCAAAACTTTTCATTTTGAAAACATGTTATACATTTAAATATAAAAATCTGACCTGTGACAGACAGAGTGACTCCAGGTGATCCAGTATATTTCCCTCCTGGTTGGTTTGTCACAAACTTGAACTTGTACTCAGCTGCGTCGCTCTCTCTCAGGTCTGTGATTCTCAGAGTGCAGTCTTTGTTATCACAGTGATACTGAACACGACCTGCAAACTCTGCCTCTGTCCTCACATCCACAAGTTCATCACCTTTCATTTTAGTAAACCACACAGCTTTTTCAACAACAGTCACGTTCCCATTCACTCTGGATGGGTACGTGTAGGTGCAGCGTATGTCCACTGTTGATCCTTTTAAGGCACAAATCTGAGTAGAGGTGTAAGTCACTGACCAACCATCCTCACCCTGAACTGCTGAAACACATCAGAAACAAAACAATGAATTCTTCTGCTTTTAAAGGTGTGTCCACGCTCTCTGCAGTTAACCTGTATGTGAGCTGAGGCAGGAGGACACACACTCTGAAGGTGCAGCGAAGGAATTTCACCTGTGAGCCACGAGGAGGCTGAACTGAAGAGAAAGGTTTTTGTGAGAAAAGAGAAGTGAGAGAAATAAATGAGAAAAGCAGAAACTGATGTGTGGAACTTTACAGCTGATGGGAAAGTTTCTTAAAACATTGGTCAACCTGCATCTGAGCAGTTATTTATGATGCACTTGCGGGAAGAATTGTCAAACAGCAAAAGTGCTCTCGAAAAAAAAAGCTGAGTCGGGTGATAATAAGAATAAGACCAAGCAGTCCCAGCGTGACTGCATTCACAGTTGTAAACTCAATACATTTAAAGTACTCATTGTGTAACTGAGGATACAAGCTCACTATAAGAGAGGTCGAGACAATTTACGGTTCAAAATATTTAAAGAAATGTTTTACAGACTGCGTTCAGGTGGTTTATCAACATCATTAAAATGACACTTGGACCTTTGTGTGATTTTAGTGTAGCTTCATTGTTTAACTCAGTTTGTTTCTTTGTGTTGTGTCTGTGTGTTTTCTTGCTAATGTGACAAAATGGAGGCAGAGGAAAGTTTAACAGAAACTATCTTCTCTTCAACTTTTGCATAAACAGGGCTGGAGCTTAAAATATTTAGAAAGTACTAAACTACAAATGTTCTATATTTCTGTGTATTTTCTTATAGTTGATCAAAAGTCAGTTATCTGTAAAATATGAAAATGTAAATATAAAATACCTGACAAAGTGAGAAGACAGATGATTGCA